TGTTGTTGTGGTTGTGGTTGTTGTTCTGGTTGTTGTAGTGTTTGTTGTTGTTGTTGTTGTTGTAGTGGTTGTTGTTGTTGTTGTTGTTGTTGTTATTGTTGTTGTTGTTGTTTTAAACACGTTCACTTTTGGGGGTAGGGTTGTTTTGTTTTTTTGTTAGTTTGTTGATGTTTTTGTTCGTGCTTTTTTTTTAGTGGGGCAGCTAATTGCAAAAATCGGCCGAATCATTCACATCGTCATACAAGCACCAAAATTTGCACACATATCCATTATGACATGCGTATTCATAAATCGAACGTTTACCACGCAATTTTTTCAAAATGGCCGCCATTTTTCAAGATGGCCGCCATTACCGGTATGCGCAACCCTATAATGTCGCACGGCATGAGGCAGTAGAGCAAATTATATGATTTTGGTATCAAAATATATGTAATCAACCTTGAAGAATCCAAATTTGCACATGCTTACACGATAATCACCACCTTCAAATAATTGAAGTGATTTTAAACTGCTATGATAGATTCAAAGAAGGTGCCACTAACCACAGACACTCACAGGATCGAGAGACTCCATTCCCCATCTACATTGGTCTGTCAGTGTTGGCAAAGACCAGGACGAAGAAACTCGTACAGATGCTCCAGGCAAATGGATTTTAAAAACGTATCCTATGATCGAGTGCTGGAAATGTCCGCCGAGCTGGGAGATGCTGTCGTGTTTTAGGAGGACTGTTCACAACTTCGGCCACAGACAACATAGACCACAATCCATCTGCTACAACATCAACGACATCTTTCCATGGTACATGTATAAGTTTATCGCTCTTCCAGCACCCCACCTCTGAGAATGAGACAGAACAGCTGAAGAAATTGCAAGTAAGGGCTGTCATGGTGAAGACAGTCCCAGAACTTCCAGACTTTTATGCGCACATCAAACCTGCTCATTTCACCAATAAGAGTCCATATCCTCCTCAAGTGACTAACATGACTCTACCAGACTCATTGAGATTTTGAAACCACAGTAGACTGGAGCATGAATGGCCCAGAAAGTCTCCATCACAGAGGTC